ACGTGTATAGTTGCCATTTGTATTGTTGAAAAATGGTATTTGCAATGAATAAGTCATTGGTCTTGCAAAATTCTATAGTGCGATCTCTGGCATCATTTCTATCACCAAGGTCATTCTTCTTTGTTTCCACATTTCACATTCCAATCACCAGTAATAATCAATATATTTTGATTGCATGTTTGGTCGTTTTCAGACTGCAGAAGTTGGTAAAAATCTTCAATTTCCTGGTCTTTGGCTTTAGTGGTTGATGCATAAATTAGAATAATAATACTACTAGCTGATCTTCCTTGTAGGTGGTGGATATTATCCTATCACTGACTAAAGCATTGTACTTCAGGATAGCTCTTGACACACCCTTTGTGACAATAAATGCCACGCCATTCCTCTTCAATTTGTCATTCCTTGCATAGTAGAACATTATGATTGTCTGATTCTGTTGTTGTTGTTGTTATGTGCCGTCGAGTCAAACCCGACTCATAGCAACCCCTCCTTGGGTTTCTGAGGCAGTATCACTACGGAAGTAGGATTGCCCAACCTTCCTTCCGAGGAGTGGCTGGTGGGTTTGAACCGCCAGCCGTCTGGTTAGCAGGCAAGTGTCTTAGTCTGATTCTAAATGCCCCAAACCAGTCCATTTCAGCTCACTAACGCCTAGGATATCAATCTTTATGTGTTCATTTCATTTTTGACAACTTCCAATTTTATTACATTTGTACTTCATCTATTCCACATTCTGATTATTGATGGATATTTTCAGCTGTTTCTTCCCATTTTGGGTCATGGGCCATCGGCCAATGAAGGTCCCAAAAGTTTTACTCCATCGGCACCTCATTAAGGTTGACTCTACTTTGAGGAGGCAGCTCTTCCCCATTCATATTTTGAGTCCCTTCTGACTTGAGCAGCTCATCTTCCAGCACTATATCAGACAACGTTCCAGGGCTATTCATGAAGTTTTCCAGTAATAAATCGGACAGTGTCTCACTGCTATTCATGAGGTTTTCAGTGGCCAATTCTTTGAGAAGTCAGTGACCCATTTCTTATTCTGAATCTGTCTTAGTCTGGAAGCGCCACTGAAACCTGTCTACCATGGGTGACCCTGCTGGTATTTGAAATATTGGTGACATAGCCTCCAGCCTCACAGCAACATGCAAGCCACCACAGTATGACAAACTGACAGATGAGTGGTGGGGGAAATAACATGGCTTCCCTAAGTAGGTAGAAATATAAAAAGGGTATGGTCCAACAATCCCACTCCTGGGTACATATCCTAGACAAATAAGAATGATGACATGAATAGACATATGCACACCCATGTTCACTGCAGCATTAGTCACATTAGTAAAAAAGATGTGCCCACCTAAGTGCCCAGGGGGTGAATGGATAAACAAACTGTAGTAAATACATACAATGGAATAGTACACAATGATAAAGAATAACAATGAATCCATGAATTATCTCACAATATGGATGAATCTGGAGGACATTATGCAGAGTGAAATAAGTCAAACACAAAAGGAGATATAATGTATGAGATCACTATTACAAAAAGTCAAGAATAGGTTTTCACTTAGAAATTATTATTATTTGACAGTTATCAGTGAAGGGAGAGGGAAGGAGGGAGACACACTAACTAGATAGTAGACAAGAATTAATTCTGATGAAGAAAAAGGTAATACGTAATATGGGGAATCATTAGAAGGAGAAGAACATTTCAGTGGTTCCAAAGGAGAATAAGAGGGGGAGGAGGTCCACTCTAGAACAGATGGTCATAGAAAAATTCTCTAAAAGAGAACTTTTAGGCTGAGATAAATTCACCTATTCAACACACATTTTGCAGTATTGATTAATTGGATCTACTGAGTTTCTCCAGTGTTCCAGATACTAGTCTAAAAACAAAATAAAGCAAGAACCATTGCCATAGAGACAATTATAACTCATAATTACTCTATAGGACAGAGTAGAGCTGCCCCACAGGGTTTCTAAGAGTGTAAATATTTATGGAAGCCGACTGCCACATCTTTCTCCCACAGAGAAGCTGGTGGGTTCAAAATGCCTACCTTTCAGTTAGCAGCTGAGCTGCTTAACTACTGTGGCATCATGGCTCTTTAGACTCCGGTCTGTTGTTATTTGCCGTCCAGTCAGACCCGACTCATAGCGACCCCTCCTTGGGTTTCCCAGGCGTTATACTAGGGAAGTAGATTGATTGCCCAACCTTCCTTCCGAGGAGTGGCTGGTGGGTTTGAACCGCCAGCCTTTTGGTTAGGAGCCAAGTGCCTTAGGCGCTATGCTACCAGAGCTCCTTACTAGAAATACTGCAGTGAAAAAACAAAGATGTTGCCATCATAGAACTTACAGTCCATTGAGCTAGTGACAAATAATGAATAAATAACCAAATGCAAAGCCCTGCGTCCCTTGTGGAAAGAACAGCAACAGGGTCAGAGTAGCTGGAGTAGTTATCGATGAATTCAGAGAGGTAATAGGAGCCAGAGCTTAGAAAGACTTATAAGCTATCATTTTCACTTGATTTCTTATTTACTAGTTTACAGTGAGCTTGAGGGTGGAAAGGTCTTTTTCTGTATTTCCCTTGCCTTTTGGAGTGTCTGCCACATGGAAAGTACTGCATAAATATTTGTGGAATGCTCCTTGGAAGCAAGAATGGCCAGACTTTATTTGACCTACTTTGGTCATACTGTAACAAGGGACCATTCCCTGGAGAAGGATATCATGCTTGGTAAAGTGGAAGGTCACCAAAAAACAGGAAGACCTTCCATGAGAGGGACTGACACAGTGGCTGCAATGATGGGCTCAGGTACAGCAAAGATTGTGAGGCTGGTGCAGGACTGGACAGTGTTTTGTTCTGTTGTACATAGGGTCACTAAGCGTTGGAGCTCGCTTGATGGTACCTAACAACAAGAACAACAAATATTTGTGGAATGAATGAATAAATGAGTATTTTTCTCAGATTAAGGCCCAGCATTCTAATCCTTTTGCATTTGTTTGTTAGTCAAAGTTGATGAGAAGTATTTTATAATGAAGCTGACACATGTAGGTCCTCTCTTTTCTGTTACTGTAGAAATTTTCCAAATTCTTTACTAGACTCTAATTTCTGTTTAAATTGTTTTTATTTTATTTTATTTATTTTTTATTTAGACTCTACATTCTTAGACATCAGAGGCATACTGTATACATTCATATCCTTTACTATAGTAATTGGCTTACCATCAAGCATCAAGTCAATTCCAATTCATGGTGACCTAATATGTGTCAGAGTAGAACTGTACTCCATAGTTTTCAATGGCTGATTTTTTGGAAGTAGGTCACCAGTAGGCCTTTCTTCTGAAGTATCTCTGGATGGACTCAAACTGACAAACTTTTGGTTGGAAGCAAAGCGTGTTAATTGTTTACACTACGCAGTACTCCAATTGATTTACTAAACCAAAACCCCACTACCATTGAGTCAATTCTGGCTCATAGTGACTCTGTGAGTGGATTGATTTACTCCAGTAGCGTAGTGCCTAAGGCATTTGACTGCTAACCAAAAGGCTGACAGTTCAAACCCACCAGCCACTCCTGGGAAGGAAGGTCGGGCAATCTACTTCCGTAGTGATACTGCCTCAGAAACCCAAGGAGGGGTTGCTATGAGTCAGGTCTGACTCGACGACACATAATAACAGCAACAGGTTTTTATATATGCTCCAAATTAATGAAAGTATAATTTGAGCCCACTTAGGAAAAGTTGCTGCAGTAATAATCCACAGTACCTCACTAATGTAGTGGACCCAAAGTGGAAGGAGTATCAAGGGTCAGGCATTCAATGCTTGGCACTGACAATTACAGTCTGTGGTCAAAATTCTTGTGCTATTTCCTTCCCCCATCTGTTCTATGCATATCACAAATTTATTACATCTTCACCCTTATTTTAAAATCAAGTATTTTTATTGCTGAAGCTGCATTCCCTAGTCTTCCACCTCCAAATTTCCTCTGGGAGGTTGCAAAACTCATTAAACAATATTTAACTTTAAAACATCTAATTATGCACTGGGAGGTAGCTTAGGATGCAGGAATGCACAGGAAAGAAGGACACGGGGAAGAGATAACTACAGGGAGGATGTGGGAAGAAAATTGTTACATTGTGGGACTTGCAATCAATGTTATCAAAATGTATCTGAAGTTCTGTATGAAGAAGCGAATTTTCTCTGTAAACTTTCACTCAAATCACAATAAAAAAATGTTAAAAAATCACAACATTTCTAATTATGAAAAATTGCAAACCTAAGTAAAAGTAGAATAGCATAATAAATACCCAAGTATCCCTCACCAGCCTTAAAAAATTATCCACTCCTAGCTAATTTTGTGTCGTTCCTAGCCTCACCCCCTTGCCATTATTTTGAAGCAAACTCAGGACATGGTATCATTTCATCTGTAAATATTTCAGTATGTATGAGGTATAATTATTAACCGTTACTGCCACCCCTCTGTTCCTCAATAGCTTAAAAAGTGAAACTTTCGTTGACGTGTGTTTGCTTTTTCAAGTAACCGGGTAAATAGTATGATCGTTCTGCTTCAAGATCAAACTAGGTAAATTCTTTGAGGAGGGGTGTGAATGGGGTGGTATTAAGGCGTCTAGCTCAGTAGCTTGCAATCAATACATAGGGGTTGACTGAAAACAAACGCAACATGCTTTAGGTTTATTAATAAGGTCTCGTCTATGGCTTTATCGTCCCTTCTTCCATTTCCTGCGTAAATTCATTTCTCTATAAGAAAATTTCAAATTTTATTAAACCAGCTGGAGGCAGGGGAGTTGAGGATCAACTAAGTTTCTTCTGCCCCGAGGAACAAAGAGCATTCCTTTTATTATTTTAAAAAGTGTTAGTATTTCTTCGTGAGACAACTTTCCCAGTCATGACTTATTAACAGGTGACCGGGCCCCGTGGAGGCCCCGCCCCCGGACCAGCCTTGCCCCCGCCCCCTCTCTCTCGCCACATTGCTCTTCTGCTCTCCTTCCCGACAGCCCTAGCGTCTGTCTAGCGCTCCCCAAGATGGCGGCTGACAGTGAGGTGAGATGTTTGTTTCCTGCTTATCCCTACCTCTGTCTCTGTGTTCTTTCCCCGGAGTCGGTACCCGGGTTCATTCTCTTTGTTTCTCTCATTCCCCTTTTCGCAGCCGGAGTCTGAGGTATTTGAGATCACGGACTTCACCACAGCCTCGGAATGGGAAAGGTGAGTCACATCACTGGGATGGGACTAGCACTCTGGGCCCCAGCGTCCCCCAGCTGCTTCCCCAATCTAGATACACCACATGTAATGCCACTTCTCCGTGAAAAGGAAGACGCTTGTAGCCTCTGGTTCTCCGCTGCTTCCCTTCTCTAACCAGCTTCAAACATCTTTTCGCGGCTCGGGTCTGTCAAGCCCCTGCCCGCCCCTGTCAGACAAACCCCTGAGACTCGGGCTTATAGAAAATGTTTTGTTTTCTCTATTCTTATAGTCTTCTCTGTTTCCTTAAACCTTTGAAACTCTGGTTGTGTCCACCCGCAAAAAACAATCACAGAGGCTATTCCTTTGTTCTTGTTCCATTTTTTAAGAAAAGTTTACTTTGTTGGCTTTAGCGTAAGCAATAAACTTGGCAGCGGCTTTTTGTCGCCGTTTACATTAGCATACCCTTTTCAGGAGGAAGCCTTTCTTCAGAGTATTGGTGGTTGTCCATCTGCAACACTCCTACCATCCCCATCCTGTCTTTTAAAATGACTTGGGGGCGAGGGGCGAGAAGCAGCATATGGCTTTGGAACGCATTATTTCAAGTTGTTATATTTCAGTGGATAAGGGCTCAGGCTTCCTGTGCCTATCATAGTCCTTGAACAGCCGTCTGGGTGAAACTGTTGTATCACTGAAATTAGTTGCAAGCCAAGTTTGTGTGTGTGCTGGGAGGAGGGGTTGAGGGCTTAGATGGAGAAGCTTTCCTGTTTGATATCACAGAAACCCTTTAGTTTTCTGGGTGTGTAATTTTGTATTTATCTTGTGGAAACATTTTATAATCTTTCTGATATGGGAGAGGAAATTTGTGGACACCGTGTCATTAGATGGCATAGGAAAATATGAAAGATCCTTGCGAGAGTAATTTGAGCTTAGTGCGCGCACCTTCTGAAGAAGCAAAGTCAGTAAAACGTAACTGCGTTGTCAGGGCTTTATTGAGCAGGTACTGTGTGTCCAGAAGTATATTAAGGGGGTAGGGAGAAACACAACTTGATCCATATATTTAAAAAGGAAAAAAGCTACAAGCAAATAGGTAAATTGTAAGCCAGGAGATACTAATTATAAAAATAGTAGATATTAGATAAGGGTGAGAGTGTATAAACTACAGTTTTTGGAGATATTTTCGTAGAAAAGATAGGCAATGAACTGGGCCTTGAAAATAAGAAGTGGTTGGTTAGACATGAGAAGGGACCAATAGGAGCAGAGAAGCCATAGAGAGAATGAACCTTTGGGATTTCATGAAGAAATACATCCTTACCGGAGTGAGGACTATCTATTGAAGGGAATTAAGAAAGTAGGTTAATAAGGAAGATGGGACCAGGATATGGGCAGCCTCCAAAGCCAAGTAAAGGCATCTAGATTTGGCTTTAGGCCCAAGCCAAATCAAACCCACTGACATCTAGTCTATTCTGACTCATAGTGAGACTTTAGGGAAGAGTAGAACTTCCCCATAGGGTTTTTGAGACTGTAAATATTTGCAGAAGCATACTGTTTCATCTTTTCTTCCATGAGTGGCTGGTGGGTTTGAACCATGGACTTTTTGGTTAGCAGCCAAATGCTTTACCAACTGTGTTCCCAGAGTGCCTTTGGCTTTAGGCCAGTCAATTTCAAACTTTAGTGTGCATTAGAATCACAGGTTGTGGGGATGGGGGGGGGGGATGCATGGCTCCCTCGAGGCTTCTAAATCAGTAGTTTTGAGGTGAGATCCCAAAATTTGCTTTCCTAACAAGTTCCCTGATGATGCTGGTGATGAGTCCTCCCTTAGAAAGATCCACTGCTTTAGATGATATTGAGAAGCCCATAATAGATTTTGGAGTGGTTAATTCATTTGATGAGAGTTGTGTCAGGAGATAAGGTAACATGAAGGCAGTAACTTACCTTGACACATATTTAGGATAGCAGTTTGGGGACTGAAGAGAAAGTGGGAGGGTAAAAGGGAAGATTGGAAGACATTTTGAAGAAAATTTAGATAGATAAGCTGGATGAGAGAGTGGGAAGAATCAAACATGGGACTGCACTTTCTTGCCTGAAAGAATGAAAATAAGTTAATGGTAAAGAGAGAAGAGTTCAGTTTTGGACCTGTTGAGCTTGAAATAATAACGTGGTGTCTTGAAATTACTTAGAAAAGTGGAGGTTTTTAATGGAAAATGGTCACTTTCCCTTAGCTAAATATTTAAATTAAATATGGAATAAATCATTTAGCTCCTCATAGAGAAATTATTATTTACACAGTTATCAAAACTGTCACAAAGTAGGAAATCTGCTTTTTGGCTTTTATGCTTGTTTCTAGAGTGAAACTAGTGTTTTACATACAGTTCATGAGAAATTTTGTTAAGACTTTGGTGTCTTTTACCTTGAATTTAATGTTTGAATGAAAATTCTCATCAGTTTGTGTAAGCCAAATGGACAGCTTATTAAGAGGGTTAATTAGAAGTCCATGTCTCTCTCTCTTTTTCATGTTGTACAACATATTTTAATAAAGTTTTTACATTTAGAGAGGCTCTAAATGAGCATAGTTATTCTTTACTAATTAAGTTATACTGTGTTTAAAGAAGACTTCAGGGGATATTTTTGGTGTAAGGTCCATAACTCTTTATCATTTATCCACTGATGTGTTTATTGAAATGCCTATGTGTCAAGAACAATCAGGACCCTAAGGATGTGGTAGTTAGTAAAAACAGAGATGGTTCCTGTACATATATTTACAGTCCAGTGGAAGAGACAGACTTGAATCAAATAATGATAAAAATGAATCTGTAATTACAAATTGAAATAAGAGCTTGGATGAGAAAGAAACTGGGTCTTATGAGAACATGTAACAAAGGATCCTAATACAGAATTAGTCAGAGGAAATGACCCTTCAACTAAGATCTGAAGAGAGAGCTTTCAGGAGAAAAGTTATTAAATTTTTCTAGTCAAATCTCAATACTTACAGAATAGAGTTCAAATTTTCTTTTTAGCTAGTAATGATAGAATTCATACAATAAGTATTTTAAGATACTCTTTTAATGTGATAGCTATATTTTTATTATAGTAATATCTCATTGTAGACTATTATTCAAAACACAGTTGAATGGATATGTCACTATAACTATTTCTAACATTAGGTTCTAACATTAAGGTAGCTTCTAATTTTTTAATCTTTATAAATGCACTGTATTTCACACGCAAATTTTTACTCACATATGGATATATTCTTAAATTTTTATTTCTCTTTTGTAAATATGTTAACTTGTTTCTTGAGTACCCATTTTCAACACTGATAATTGTCATTTGATTGAATCCCCAAAAAAAGTGAAATATTAATACCACCTTTGACAGGAGCTCTGGTAGCATAGTGCCTAAGGCATTTGACTGCTAACCAGAAGGGTGGCGGTTCAAAACCAGCAGCCACCCCTCCGAAGGAAGGTTGGGTAATTTGCTTCTGTAGTGATACTGTCTCGGAAACCCAAGGAGGGGTCTCTATGAGTCGGGTTCAATTTGACAGCAGTGAGTTGTTGGGTTTTTTTTTTTTTAATATTAATGAGGAATTATTAGAGCGTTCAGTTGAATCATAAACTCTGATTTATCATTACTGTCATTATTATAGCAGAAATACAAAAATTTATAATGTCACAGAAGGAAAAATCTAATGCCTTTGAATGTAATTTTCTAATATTCTAGCAATACTATGTATGTGTTTTAGAAGAGCAATGTTGTTAGTAGATTGCATCATGCTTATTAGATAAGAAATCAGTTTTTTAGCATAAAAACAAATCTTCTAAAAGTGTTTTATAATATATATTTACTCAAAAAGTAAATCAAACTCACTGCCATTGAATCTATTCCGTTTCATAGTGAGCCCCATTGGGTTTCCGAGGCCATAAATCTTTACAGAAGTAGATTGTTCTGTCTACCTTCCACAGAGCAGCTGGTCTGTTTGAATCACCAACCTTCTGATTAGCAGTCAGATGCCTTAGGCATTATACCACCAGAACTCCTTGTATATATTTACTACGACTACTGAAATTTGACAATTTTCTTTTAGTGATGTTGAGCACGTTACTAGTCAAAATTTAATTCTCCTTTTAATAGGTCAGCTTGATTGTTAGATTTTGGGATCAATAGTGAATAGTTTTTAAATGTTTATTATGTGTTCCTTATAGCTGATAAATCTATGTGTCATCTGTCCCTTAAAGCTTGTTTTATTTTAATGAGCAAAGTTCCTAAATAATTTTATTTGTTTGGGAATGGGGAGCAATTAGGAATTCCTAAATACGTGTAAAGGAAAAGTTGATTTGAGTAGGTCAGTTATTTTGAGGGTGGGGGAGAGATTGTCAGTTTCATAATTATCTTTAATGGTAACATTTATATTTATTTTAATCTCTCATAAACAGATTTTATTTATTTTCAATTTATATTTTATAGAAGGCGGAATGTTGAATAAACAGTGGAATTAAATCAAAATCTAAGAATTCTTGGGCTGAAGAAGATTATTATTTTTATTCCATATCCGTAACTTAGGCTAACAGTACTAACCTTACTGAACCTTCTCTGAAAATCAAAAGGTTTAAAAAAAATTCCTTTTTTTAAGAAATTATGTGACAGTACGAAAAGATGTGCTATGTTAATTATTTAGAAAGTTTTTCAACCCCCCTCTAGGTTTATTTCAAGAGTTGAAGAAGTTTTGAATGATTGGAAACTGATTGGAAACTCTTTGGGAAAGCAACTTGAAAAGGTCAGATTTATTTGCTGATGTCTCTAAATGAGTATTACCTTTGAAACTTCTGTCTTTAAGCCCTTTGCTGCCGTTAAGTTATATATAATCTGTAAATATTATTAAATGGTGTCTGGAAGTACTTGGGCTTGAATCTGTGGCAAATGATGTATGTAAGACATTTTGTGAAATGTTTTTTAAATAAAATATATATATATATATAAGTTCTGGTAGCATAGTACCTAAGGCACTTGACTGCGTCCGACTCAATGGCATATAACAACAATGTGTGTGTGTGTATAAAATATCATTCTTTGTGAGTGATTTTATTTGTCTATTTCTCTGAATGTCTGCTTTCTGACCCTTTCTCTTAGAATCTTAGAAAATCTTTTTTTCAAAGTTTTTTAGTTGTCTGAGAAATACTACATTATCACCCTCTTGGGCTGGGTATTTTGCTTAACTAATGAGGAAAAATCTTGGTCTTAAAATTGACTTGTAGCTAGCAACTGTTTTACTCTATTTTTTAAAAAAATTTTTTATTTTATGGTAACACTAATAATATTCGTCTCCCCCCAACATGAATTTGAGAATATTTACAAATAGAAAAATTACTCTTCAAAATTCAGGTAGAACTCTAGTTCTAACCCAAAGTATTAGTTGTATTCAACCACTTCCCAAATGTTTAACGAAAAATGTACACTGAGAACAAACCTAGAATTTTTGTGTTTCACTGGAGAGAACTAAGTAACATTTTGATACTAAACTTATGTAGGTGCTTAGTTTGTTAGATAAATTCCTTTGAAGTAAAATTGATTATTGTTGTTATTACAAATCTATTATTAGCTCTGCAGTTCACCTCTGTTATTTAATTTTTGATATAGTTGTACTAAATTGTACCATTTTGCTACTTGTTTTGTGTGTTTTTGTCCCCATGATTTTCTGTGCTTCATTTCTTGCCTTTTTTGTGTTAATCTAATACATGTTTAGTATTATTATTATTATTTTTTTTAATTGTGATTTGGGTGAAAATTTACAGAGCAATTTCACTTTCCATACAGCAGTTCACGTACACTTTGTCTTATGACATTGATCGCAATTTACCACAATGCAACAGCTCCCCTCCTACTTCTTCCCCATAGTTACCTCTTCCCTGTGTCCATCCCTCCATACACTCCTGCCCCCTGAGCTGTCACCCTGTGCATAAGCAGCCCTTCTCTGATTATTCTCTCCAAGGAGTGTATCTACCTCAGGTAAATGTTCAACTTATATGCCTGTCTTTCGTTTGGCTGGAAACCACAGGTGTGGGATCAATTCCAGACCTGAGGGGCAGCTAGGGACCATAGTCTTAGCGGATCCACCAGGCTCTATCAGACCAGCAAACCTAGTCCCTCCCCCTTTTTTTTCTCCAAATGATTTTAAGTTTTGTCCACATTGTTCTCTCTTTCTATCCAGGATCTCCTACATAGATCCCCTTCCAAGTAGATGACAGTGGTAGCCAGGTACCATCTAGTTCTTCTGGTCTCATAGTCATATAGGCTGCAGATCGGATGATGTACCAGTCGCTAGGATTGTTTCCATGACTTTTTGGTTTTCTTCATTCTTCTTTGCTCTGGACAAGGAGAGACCCATTGTTGCATCTAGAGGGCAGCTTGCTAGTTTTTAAGATCCCAGTAGCTACTCGCCAAAGTAGGGGGTAGAACAGTGTTTTATATAGTATGTTATGCCAATTGAGCTTGATGTCCCCTGCAACTACGGTCCCAAGCCCACAGGTTTAAATACTTGGTCCCTCTGGGTAGCTGACTGTGACGAAACAGTGACCACAACCTTGCCCCTTGTCAGCTCTACTATACACCTGGGAATTCTGATCGTTCACATAAACTTATAGGACCCTTGTCTGCCAACCCTATTGAGGTGTAGTAAATCACTTAGTGTGGCTTTTCTACCCATGAGTCTTTGTAAAGTCCAAGGTGGGATTTTCTATGAGCAGCTGAGGAGCTCCTGATTGCTGAAGCTATCCACCTGGGTTATTTCTGTTGAGCGTGGCACAATACAATGTTCTGGGAGGTTCCCACTCTCTCTCATGTGCTTAGAGTTCTGATGCTGTGATTGGCCAGTTTGAGCATTCTGCTGGGTTCAAAAGGAGGCCTCCTAGAGGCAGAACTCTCTCTGACTGCTGGTGGAGGAAGACGGGCTGCCGAAAGAGACACGCATTGCTGAGTAAGACACCGAGGGACCGGCGCTGCTGGGAAAGAGACTGTGAGAGACTGTTGGCTGAGGGACGGTGGGCTGGGAGAGAGACTGAGCATTCTTCCTGAGCTTGAATTGTAGTCTGGTGCTTCCCTAATAAACCTCATAATCTGTGAGCTCTGTGTGGCCACTGCAGCGAATTATCGAACCCAGGAGAGAGGTGGTGGGTGTTTTAGGAGGAACGGTTGGTGAAAGGGCTGGAGGGAGGCAGCATGTCTGGTCTTGTAGGAATAGGCCTTGGGTTACTGCTGGTAAT